TCAGTGCTCCCATTTCCTGCGCGACGAGCTGCACGGCTACATTGAGGAGGCAGCGGCTGAGTTCGGCCTACAGAGTAGCTTGCGTAAAGAGAACCCTTGGGAAGCCCCCAGAAATCCGGTGACGCTCAGGCAAGCTCTCGACAGCGTACAGATGAAGAGCGCCGAAGAAGTGGAGGACGATATTGAACTACCGACCCGGGATGACAATGAAGGTGTCGTCAATGCCCCGCGGCACGGAGACCCTCTTCCGAGTGTCAAGTCGGAGTCGGTAGAGGTATCAGATCGCTCCAAAGCCATCAGGCTGAAGGAGAGCCTCATCCAGGAGTATAGAGTCTCCATTGGGGGCTACTTCCGCCGCTTTCAGCCAGAGTACTTCAACCTCTCGGAGGACGGCGAAAACTACACAATCTCGGTCGAATCAGCCCTCGCCTACGCCTTCCTGCGCGCCGACTTGGACTTTGTCTCCGCCCAGGCCCGCAAGGTTGACCCGGACGACTCGACGGTCAGCGACAGCCCCCTGAACAACGACGAGATACTCGGAAAACCTCATGCCACCCCCTCGGGCCACGACATTGGTGGCGCGACGCGCTTCAAGGGAGGCTCAACCGCCTCCATCGTGCTCATCTCGACACCCACCCCCGTCCCCTTCTGGCACCCAGGCGCGCACTCTTCGCTCATCGTGGCGCACGTCGGCGACACCCGCGTGCTGCTATGCGATACCGCAACCGGGCTCGCGCAGCCCCTGACGTCCGATCACCACCCCACCACGCCGGGCGAGAGCAGACGCCTGCGCAGGTACGCCCCGGCCGGCTCGATGGTGTCCGGCGACAGCTTCGGCGAGGAGCGCATCGCGGGGCTGGCCAACAGCCGCGCCTTCGGGGACATCAAGAGCAAGCGCATCGGCGTCTCGGCCGAGCCCGAGATCACGCGCGTCGAGCTCAGCCCCGCCGAGTACTCCTTCCTGGTCCTCATGAGCGACGGCGTCTCGGGCACCCTCAGCGACCAGGAGATTGTGGACGTCATCAAGGAGGCCAAGACGCCCGAGGAGGGCGCCCGCCGCATCGTCGACTACGCGACCGAGGTCTCGGACGACGGCGACAACGCGACCTGCCAGGTCGTCCGGCTGGGGGGCTGGGAGCGGCGATCGGAAGGCGGCCTGGGCAGTCTTGGGACCAAGGAGTTTCGGGATGCCAGGCGTGCGGAGGCGCAAGATCCGCGGCGACGACGCGGCAAGCGATAGGATTCTTTTCGATCGGAGATTCAGTTTCGATACTCGATGGATATATTCTAAGTTCACATCAG